TTGTGTGTATATTAGCATGTAAGATTTGGCTTTTAAAGCAAGATAAATCTATTTTGTAACATTAATGTGTGTGACTAATGCTATCTCATGCATTTTCTATCCAAAGAAATGATTGTATTAGTAAATTGACCTTTTATTGATTCACATTAAACAGGAACATCATCATTATCATTGCTTTATAGACCTTCTATAAGCCACAGTGGGTGAAATTAAAAATTAATAAATGAAGCATTTTTATAGCACCTTCTTTTCTTCTAGAGGACATCACCCATTGTGTAACTATTCCCAGAGATTACCTAATGCACCACTGACAGATTCTTTATACCTTCTTCCCACCTTTTCTCCTACTCTCCCATGGTCCTTGCAGAAGCTACACGGGGCTGTAGAGAACTGAGGTCCATTTTATATGCCCTGAATTTTTTTAAATCACAAATTCTAAGCTAGTCACTTCCTCCTAAGGTTCCTATCATTTCTGTTCCAACAGCTAGTTTCTCTTTGCTTGTCAAGCCCAGAATCGTAATTTTTCTCTGACTGATTTTTTTCACCTTTTGAAGAATGAGGATTTTATTAAGAGAACTCAAGAATTTATTAGCCATTTTTTTTAAAAGAAGAGACTGCTTTAGGAGACGTTTAGGTAAGGTTCTCTGCCGTTGTGTTATCATGGCAACATGTTGGGTTTTATGAATTCATCCATTTCTTCTTTTAAGTCTGGTGGCATATAGTATAATCCCACTATAATGTTGCTTCTGCTTGTCCTTCCATTTAATCTTACCAGAATGTTCTTCACCATGCTTCTCTTCCACTTTGTGGCTTCCTCTACATGATTATGTCTTGTGTATATACTTCTTCACTGCTCTTGTATCTAATTTGTTCCTTTTGGATAAGGTATCTCCTTCCGTTTCCGTGTATCATGGATCATATGCCAGTCTTAATGATAGCTTAGCACAGTGCCTGGCACTATGAAGGTGCTTAAAAATGCTTGTTGATTGATTGATAAAATGGTAGACCTCGTTGGTAAATTTCCTTACATCAAGATCTCATGTTCACTTTATTTAGAATGTGTTCTACAGGTTTTTGGGCATAGGCATCTGAGGCAGTAGATGTAGTTAGTCCTGCTCCGTTTATTGGTTATTTTCTTCTCTTAATGGACCTAGCTCTTCTTTCTATGCTACAATTACTTCTGTGGTATCTATTTTGGCATTTTTGTGGGCAATATAAGTAGGCAGTTGTCTTCCTTTCATTATGTTTTCAATTTAAAGACTCCTGATTACATTTGAAAGTCCCTAGGCGCACCCCCCCCCACATATACATACACACATATATACACACCAACACTTGTACTATGCATATATACAAATTATATATTTATAGTTATATTCATATATATAAACAATTATGTGTGTGTGTGTGTGTGTGTATATATATATATATATATAGTTTTATATATATATATTACATATACATATATGTTTTAAAAACCAAATTTTAAATTCATTATATATCCTTCTTCCTTGGCCACAAACTTGTTATTTATATAGCTTAAGCCCTGTGCTGGAAATCCAAGTCCTGTTCACAGACACCATCTTCTTAACTAGTTAATCACATCCTAAATCTGCCTCTCTCTTCTGAAACCCCCACCTTCAACTGACAGCAGTGATGAAAATTTTGCCTTTGCCTTAAGGTTTTTAGGTTTTTGCCCAGGACATCATAATGCATAGCAGCACTCTTTGGATTCCTTTTTTTGTCCTCACGTGAGTCACTGGAAGTGAGTAGTGGTTGTCAGGTTTGACAACTCCTAGGATACTTTCTGAAACATCTTGAGTAAATGTTCTTGTCAGGTCGCCATGAGTCATTGTTCAAATGTTCTTGTCAGGTCGCCATACCTGCCTCAATACCCCTCTGTACACAGGGATTCACTAGACCATTTCTTGTCACTTCATCCTTGGACTTAACCAGTACTAGATCAGGAATGGGAAACCTGCGACCTTGAGGCCACATGTGGCCTTCTAGGTCTTGAGTGTGGTCTTTTGACTGAGTCCAAGTTTTACAGAACAAATTCTCTTATTAAGGAGATTTGTTCTTTGAAGTTTAGATTCAGTCAAAGGGCCACACTTGAGGATCTAGAGGGCCACTTGTGGCCTTGAGGCCACAGGTACCCCACCCCTGAAATAGCTTTTCTTTTCTTTTCACTTATGAGCCTTCTTAATTAATTAATAAATCAATCTACAAGCATTTATTAAGCCTCTACTATCTTCCACGTGTTATGCTACAAAGACAAAAATGAAACACCACCTGCCTTGTACTCAAAGGAGATTAATGTTCTTAACAACACTTTCTATAGAAGCAAAGAATTAGAAACAAAGGAGAGCTCCAGTCTTTTGAGGAATGGCTAAACAAAGGGTGGTGAATGAATATAATGGAATATTACTGGGCTAGCAAGAAACGAAAAGAAATTCTTCATGTTATGAATAATTCAGAGAAGTATGGGAAAACCTGTAAGAATGGATGCTGGGTGAAGTAAGAAGAACTACAAAAGCAATATACACACTGTCTGTAGCGCAAATGCAGAGAACAACAAAAATAACAAGAAACTGAATGTTATGTAATTAAATGACCAAACAGCCCCGATGAAGACATGAGAAAAATGCATCTCCTTCCCATCTTTGCAAAGGTGAAGACTATGAGTGTGAAATATTTTATATTCTGTCAGGTAAAATGGCTTTCTTTCTTCCTTTTTAAAAAAAAATTTGTTTTAGCCATGTAAGGGATAGCTCTCTGGACAGGGGAAGAGATGATCAAGAAATGTACGAAAATGTACAAAAGATATAAATACAAATACAATTAAAAAAGAAACAATCCTTGTTCTCAAGGAATTTATTCTGTTTAGGAGAAATGTACACATATGAGAAAATAAAATTATAATCAAAGTAAATAGAAGGGAATAGGGGAAGAAATAGTAGCTAGGGAGGATGAGGAAAAGTCCTATGGAGGAGATGGCATTTGAACTGAATTTTGAAGGAAGAAGTAGAGGTGAGGAGAGAGTACAAATGTCATGTGTATGGTCTGACAACTAAGCCAGTTTTTCTAGAACATATTGTGTATGAAGGGAACTAATGTGTAGTAAGCTTGGAAAAAGTAGGTTGAAGAAAGAGTGAGAAAAGCTTTAAATACCAAACAGGGTTTTATTGTTTATTATAGAGGCAGGAGGAAGTCACTGGACATTCTTGAGCGTGAGAATGACACGATCAAACTTATGCAGGCAGCTAGCTGACACAGTGAATTAGAGCATTGGGCTTGGAGTCAGGAAGATCTGAATTCAAATCCAGCCTTAGTTAGACATTTACTGGCTGTGTGATCCTGCACAAGTAGCTTAACCTCTGTCTGCCTCAGTTTCTTCAAATATAAAACAGAGATAAGGCTAGACCTTACCTTCCAAAGTTGTTGCGAAGATCAGATTAGGTTTGTGAAGCACTTTGTAAATCTTAAAGCACTGTATAAATGCAAGCTACTATTATTAGGCCTTAAAATGATCACCTTTGCAATTGGAAAAGAGAGAGGTTTTGAGGCAAGGAGAATAATTAGAAGATTATTGCAGTAGTTCAAATGAGAGGTGGTAAAGGCTCGTACCAGGAAAGGGCCCAGGTGAGCAGACAGATGGGGGGCAGATTTTAGCGATGTTTTGCAGTTTAATTTGCCCAATTGCTGAATTATACCTTTGAGAAAACAGTTGAGGACAGTTTTAGAGAATAGTTCATTGGAGTCTGAAACGAGATGGAGGGGGGGTTGCAGCGTGACTTCTTGTGTTAGGAGTTTTCGTTTTGGTTTGTTATTTTAATCTGCTTTGCATTTTCTCTGTAGTTATCAGCAGTCAGCTCCCTTAGAGAACTGGGAAGTGGCTGTGTGAGGGGTAAGGGTGAGGGTGGGGAGAGATGTTATGTGCTTATTCTGTTAGCACCGGGGTGGAGAAGTTGGAGCTCCATATCTCCTTGGACACACCTGAGAAAAACTCAAGATCAAAGAGGTTGGGTGGAGCTGGCAAAAGGAGGAAAAGACTATAGAAAATACCAACTGGTGGTGATGACTGACTCTAAAAAAATGTAGATTTCAGTCCAAGCACTGAAAAATCGCTTAAAAGACCCCGCCCTATTAAAAACCTGCTCTCTGATGGTATAATGATGAAAGTGAAGAACTCAGGCTTGCCCAGGGTGTCAGTTAAGTATCTTTTGTGGGTTGTATTGTGATTTAGGTGCTTTCTTGGAAGCAGATTAGTAAGGCCGCAGGTGCTGGAAGTTGTCTCTTTTTTTTTTTTTGAACAGACCTTGAGTTTGACTCATAAATAGCATTTCATTCGATCATATAGGTCTTCAAGACCTGAGACCTGCTTCGTATATAGTATACCATGCTGCTTCTTAATGTTTAGGTAGATGGAATTGTCTTCCTCTGTGGGAGGGGGGAAGAGTACTAGATCAGGGAGTACTAGATCAGGGGTCAAAGGATCTGTGTTCAAATTCCACCCTAGCTCCTTGACCTTGGCAAGTTATTTCACCCCTCTGGGTCCCATTTCCTTGTCTGTAAGGAGTTTTTTCAGACTAGATGAGGCCTAGAAATTCTTCTAATTCTAGATCCTAGGAGTTTATAGTTTAACAATAAGGTACTAAGTATGTACTTTCCCAGAAGAGTGGCTTACAATCCATTGAATCATGTTTTCAGGACAAATTTGCCATTCATTTTTTCCCGTGAGGTACAGTTGGAAGGGACCTTAGATATGCATTCTCCTTATTTTACTGATGTGGAAACTGAGACACAAAAAGGTTAATGACTTGCCCAGAGTCACAGAACTATTAAATGTCTGGGCAGAATCCTGAGATTAAGTCCTATGCCCTATCCACCAGACCATTTATTTGTTAGCTATCTTTCCAATAGCTCTGGCTCCTTCAAATGCTTCTGTGATGGCTCTATTTGCCTGTATGTAATTTGTCTTTGTTTTTGTTTTTTTTAAGTCTTGGCTGTTTACCTGAACAAATCCTGGTGGTCCATAGAAGAGATCATCAAAACATCTGATCCTTCTAGAGAAGGTCTAATACAGGTGAGAGAGAACACATTTTTTCTCACTCTTTCTCTTGAAGGGACTTGGTGACAAAGTGAATGAAATGGATTGCTTTCTATTCATCTGGCTTCTGCTGTTTCACTCTTTAGTCATCTGACTATTTGCATAGGACTGTTTTATAATTGCGATTTGCATGTTGGGGTTTTTCAGCTTGATTTCCTTCCTGGTTGCTCCTCCCACAGGTCAAAAATAAGCAGATTTCCCGAACTATCATTGTGCAAACTCTTGCTTGCTGGCTTTGGGTTTTTGTCAAAGGAAAAATATATTCTATCATACTGGAGGGGATCATAGTAGAGGCTGGACGGAGGGTCATATCGGTCAACAAAGAAGGCTGAGGAGGAAATTACACATTAAAAATGGTGGGCTATCACCATTCAGACCCTTTGGTTCTTAGGGAACTCAGTACAAGTGACACCATGATAGCACTGTGGGGGGGAAGAGGGGGAAGCAAGGGAATTAGATGTTGCTCCTCTTGGTTGCAAAATAGGATTTCCCCCTTCCTCCCCCCATCCACTTCATTTTGGTGTGATTTTGTTGTGCTTCTTTCTGCAGGCAGGGGCAGGGGATAGATGATTTTTTTCAAAGTCCATTCCAAGGATGACACCTGAATAGAATAGCCATTTCATTCAGGTTGACTTCTGAGTTATTTTTATGGGCCAGTTTTGTTCTGGTACAGTAGTTAAAGGAAAAAAAAAACCCAACACAAACAGAGCCAGATCTTGTTTGAACTGGTTTTGTTCGAGACAAACAAGCAACAAAATTCTTGGGCATTTATGCTCATTTTAGTAACAAATTACATTTGGGGTTTGGGATTAACAAACTATTGGCCATTTCTTGTCCAAAACCTTGCACCCTTTCACTTTAGATATCCCTTCCTTTACAGGATAGATGTATTTATTCTGAATAGCTGTGTGCGTAAGTTGATTCATATTCTAAGTGCCTTTGGGAAGCTTACAATTGAAAGGAATTCTGTGATGAATCATTTGGTAACATGAATAATCAAGCCCTTGAAAGTCTGTTTTCTAAACCTGATTCTTTTAAATATTGATTTTTTTGAAAGTAGGATACACCTATACTTTGATTCTATAATTTATATACCCTATCCATAATTTCCTTTTCTATAACTACATTAAATTAGTCTTATTACCTCATAGTATGTCTCTATCAACATCTTAAATTTTCAGCCTTGAATTTTTTTTGTTTCTTATATAGCATTTTGCATATTAAGAAATTCCCCCTTAAAATCAATTATTTGATAAAGTTCCTAATCAAGAAAAAAACAGGAAACTACTATAAATTATTGGGAATCAAGGCCCATGCAGCTCCAATTCTGTAGAATGGATTGGTCAGCTATTTATACCAAAGTTCCTACAGCAAAGGAATCTATATAGCAGGTAGACTTGGGCCCATACATAAATTGATGCTTTGTCCTAGATATAACTGAGCCTAAATATAAGAACAGAGTTGTTCTCCATCATGGCATAAAGGCATCTGGAGCCAGCATTTCGCTGTCTTTAAGAAAAAAAAAGGAGGAAAGGTTTGGTTTCTTTCAAAGGACGTTGAATGTGCTGTTTATGGTATCTTAGAATAGTTTGCTCTCACCTTCAGTGAGCTAGCTTCCAGTTTAGTGGCAAGTGCAATTTTCTTTTTTTTTTTTAAAGTTATATATGATACAATACATTTCTACAACCCATAAAGGCTAAGGAAGCTATTATCTGGTATTATCCCTCACTCCTCAAAGACATACCATTAAGAAAAGGCCAAGGTAATAAATGCCTCTTTAGAAACCATAATTTACTTTTGGTCCTTTGGCATGAAAGGGATTGTATAATGATGGAAAATAGACATGACCCCAGTGCGTACTCTTATTCCAAATGGAGAATTTTTCATGTCTGATTTTTGTTTCTAGTCTCACTTGGTCTCTCCTATTTTTTTTCTTTGAAGGTCCAGTCTTTTGGGGAAAGAATTGTACTTTTTATTCTTAACTACGTTATTTTTGGAAGATTGGAGAGAAATTTGGATGATGGCATGTTTTTTTTACCTCATTCAGCTACGGAACATGCAAAAATTCTGTGGAGGAATGGAGCTGCCATTGGTTTTTATACCTTCAAGATGAAAGGTAAAATAATTAGTCACATGCTTAAGGGAGCACTGCTGACTGTGATTGGTCCTGGGTAAGAAGGCAGATCATTCTGGGTGTTTACCTGGATGATGGTCTTACAGAAATGTTACTAAGTATCCCTTTGTTCTAAAATGGATTTGGAGGAACCTTGAATATCCAACTGAATTATTAGAAAACCTATATTCCCATCAGGATGGTTATCGTGTAATCATTGAGGGTGTATAATCTTGATTCCTTTTCTCTTTAGCTCTGTTATCACTTCTGGTAGGATGAAAGGCTTCATGCCTTTGATTCTGTGAATCTGACACTTATCTGTTAGCATTTAAGATTGCAGTGAGTGTATGAATGTTATCTTTCATTATATTTCTTTTCTTTAACATTACCAATTAGCTGTCAGGAGAAAGGCTGTTACTAATACCCGACATATGATGCAAAAAAAGCTAGGGCATGCCAAAATTCATAGACATTACCTCAGAAGAGAGTTAGGCTGTGGCAAGAAGGTTAGGATGTGAGGTTCTGGCTTATTTTTAGGGACTGTGACCAGCAACAGTGTGGAACATGAGTCCTTTTCCAGATAAATTTGACAGATTAATCTTCATTTGAAAATGCTTGATCTCATAGGGTAGTTGTTTAGGTGCTTTGTCAACAAATCTTAGACCCAGCCTTTCCCAAAGCACAGCCTTTCAGATTCTGTAAAGGTTTAAGTTTCAATAAAAATAAATTTCCGCTGTGTACAACTATGGGTATAGTGTTACCTGAATTAAATCTTTCTCTAGGGTAATCTAAAGTCTGATTTTAGTTTTAAACCATGTTCACACTGTGTACACATTCTAGTTGCCCAGAACTGTATAAATCTGGCTTTCTCACCGTCCTTCCCCGGCCTTCACCATGCTATCTGTGTTTTTCCACCCAGGAAGTCATTTTAGTTAATTGTTTGCCAGGATCAACTGGAGAAGCTGGAAATCCTTATCTTTGGTTATCTTTGTTTGGTCACTCTTTTGTGTGTGTGTGTGTGTGTGTGTGTCTTGGTTACATTGATTTGACATATCCTTATCACTGGAAGAAGAGAACAAAGGAGTACGTTGGGATGGTTAAAATGGAAGAGAACACTAATGTGTTTCTTCTTTCCTGGGACCCTTATCGGCTGTCATCTCCCATCAGCTATGTTGTCGTAATTCAGGAGGATCAGTTGTGCCATGGGGCTCACTTTGATATTTTTAGTAACAGATTATCATAGACAAGCCTCTATGGGAGCTTCTGTCTATAAGAAGAGCCCTGTCCCAATGATGTGGGATTGTAAATGTTTTCATTTTGTCCCACATATGCAAACTCTGTTCACGATGGCTTTTACTGGTGTTTCCACGTTCTCCTGAAGATGATTTTCTCTGACAAAATGTAAGTTCCCAGGGAGTAGGGATTGTTTCACTCTTTGTATTTGTGTCTTCGGTGTCTAGCACAATGCCTGGCACATAATAAGTACTTGATAAAGGCTTGATGACTTTAGTGGTCTCCCTTCAGGGTTTGCTGAAGGGGAAAGGGAATCAACATTTATATAGCACTTCCTATGTGCCAGGCACACTGTGCTAAGTGCTTTTTACAAATATGATCTCCTTTGATACTCACAGCAACCCTGATAGGTAGATGCTATTGCTATTACAGTTGAAGAAACTGAGGCAAATAGAGGTTGACTTGTCTAGGGTTACATTGCTAATAAGTATTGGGGGTCGGATTTGAACTCAGGTCTTCCTGACTCCAAGTCCAGCACTCCATCCACTGTGCCATCAGCTACCTCTGCCACTGAAAGGGGCTGTTTTTAGTTTGTAGGATACATATTCTGTGCATTACTGGCAGAGCTTCCAAGTGGAGTAAAATCGTAGAATAGAATCACAGAATACAAAATAGTTCTTGAAAAGATCTTAAAGATCATCTTGTCTGGCCCCATTATTTCCCAGATCAGGAAACTAAGGAGATGACCAAAGAAAACATTTACATTTCTGCTGCTTCCATAAAGTGAATTCTGTGGATATTTAGAAACTTTCTCTGGCCATTTGAGATCTTTCTGGCTGAACAGATTCATATTATAAAGTGAAAATAATCTATTAGTAACATTCTCAGAACAAATTAAATGGGTTAATAGGCATTAACTTCCTTCAGAATTAGAGAAAGAAAACAAATACTCCCTTCATGGATTGTCTACCCAATTTTTTTCTTTTATTTTGTCTATGTATCCTGTTTCTCATTTGAAATATTTTTCAAGAATCAAAACAAAGTTGTTTTTATTGAGCTATACTATGATGAAAACATTTTTTCACATTCTATCGTTGCAGTAATTTTTTCAGAAGCCTCAGCGAAAATGCTTTACTCTTTTTTTTTGTTTAGCTATAAAGATTGGCTCTATTCTTAAGATCACAAGTTCAAGGAATAATTTCTTTAAATAACTCCGAAGATTTAATAATGTTTTTTAAAAAAGCATTTATGCATTTTAGCATTAATGCTTTTAGCATTGTATGTTGTGTGCTAATGTGACACATACATCTGTGTGTACATATATAAATGTGTAGTATACACATGTACATATATATGCAGGTATATATCCATGTATCCATATATGGATTGCTCTCTTTCACTCTCTCTCTCTCTCTCTCTCTCTCTCTGTCTCTCTCTCTCTATCTCTTTCGCCCCCTCTTTTTCTCCCTCTCTCTCTCCCCCTCTCTTCCTCCCCCTCTCTCTCCCCCTCTCTTCCCTTCAGCCCTCCCTCCCTCCTTGTGATTTTATTGGTATTTGAAACTCCAAATGAGGTAATTCATCCTACCAATACAGTTTGGAACCTTCTCTGTAATATATAATGTACTTGAAAATGAAGTGGATATAGTAGTTCTTCATGACAAGAGAGCCAAATGAACCATCTTTTCTGAATATGAAAAGTGATGGGGAAAAAAATGTGACTTTCTAATCTGATAGAGATCCTTTATTTACTACTCTGATACTAGTATTGGAAAAATAATGGGAAATACATTCCCTGTGTCTCTTTCTCTTCCTATAAGATTTAAAGAGAATGTATATTTAAAATGAATAATGGTAGAAATTAGTAGCATTAAGATGAATTAAGCCAGATATAATTTTCACATACATGCCCCACCCCCCTTAACTCAGAGAAACATTTAGTTTGACTTTAGGAGGAGTTTATAGTTAAAAAATCTGGTATAGTTACTGGTCTTTTCAAAGCCATGGTCCCAGGTTTTGATTTTTGTTATAGTTTAAGGTCAACTTGAGAGTTGCCACTTGATAAAAAAGAGGTGTAGCACCTGACTTCCTATTGAAATATTCAGTGATATAGTTAGGCCTCGATAGACTGGGCTTCATTGATTCAGAATAATTTATCTTAGGTCAGGTAGAAGTTTACCTTTTCACTGGGCTTGTGTGTAAATTGATAAGATTAATAAAGAACACAAATTGCATTTCAAGGGCCATGTTTAATGTACTTAAATGAACAGTCTCTTTGGTTTTATTTATTTATTTTTAATTTTCAACATTTGCTTTTATAAGATTTTGAATTCTAAATTCCCCCCTTCCTCCACCCCTTCCCTCCCCAAGATGGTTTGCAATCTGATATAGGCTATACATGTATGATTATATTAAACATACTTCCACATTAGTCATGTTGTGAAAGAAGAATCAGAACAAAAGGGAAAAACCATGAGAAAGAAAAAACGAAAAACAACAAAAGGAAGTGAAAATAGTATGCTTCAATCTACATTCAGACTCCATAATTCTTTCTCTGGATGAGTCTTTTGGAATTGTCTTAGATCATTGCATTGCTCTGAAGAGCTAAGTTTAACAAAGTCAATGATCACACAATGTTGCTGTTACTGTATACAGTGTTCTCCTGGTTCTGCTCACTTCACTTAGCATCAGTTCATGCAAGTCTTTGCAGGTTTTTCTGAAGTCTGCTTGCTCATCATTTCTTATAGCACAATATATTCCATTACATTCATATACCACAACTTGTTCAGCTATCCCCCAATTGATGAGCATCCCCTCAATTTCCAATTCTTTGCCACCAAAAAAGAGCTGCCGTAAATATTTTTGGACATCTGGGTCCTTTTCCTTTTTTTATGATCTCTTTGGGATACAGACCTAGTAGTGGTATTGCTGAATCAAAGGGTATGCACAGTTTTATAGTCCTTTGGGCATAGTTCCAGATTGTTCTCCAGAATGGTTGTATCAATTCACAACTCCACCAACAATGCATTAGTGTTCCAGTTTTCCTACATCTTCTCCAACATTTATCATTTTCCTGTTTTGTCATGTTGGCCAATCTGATAAGTGTGATGTGGTACCTCAGAGGTGTTTTAATTTGCATTTCTCTTATCCATGGTGATGGAGAGCATTTTTTCATATGACTATAGATAGCTGTAATTTCTTTATCTGAAAATTGCCTGTTCACATCCTTTGACCATTTATCAGCTGGGGAATGACTTTATTCTTACGGATTTGACTCAGTTCTCTATGTATTTTAGAAATGAGGCCTTTATCCTAGACACTGACTATAAAAATTAGAACAATCTTTGTAAAGATACTATTCATAATAATAAGGCATATCAATTCATGAGTATTAGCTTGGCATAGTTGATAAGAACACTGGACTTGAAGTCAGTGAGACCTGGGTTCTAATCTTGCCTCCAATATTAATATTTTCAGATCATGGACAAATAATTTAATTCCTCTGAGCTTACGACTGCTTTATCTCTATAGTCTATATCTATGGAGAGAGAGATAGACAGATAAACAAAATGGACATAGATGGTTGGATGGTGAGGAAGAGGGAAAAGCAATGTGGTTACAGAGCCAGCTTCTGAGTCATGAAGACCTGGGTTACTTTGGGCAAGTCTGTAACTTGCAGTACCCCTAAGTAACTAAGACTGTATGTCATAGAAAAAATATCAGCCTGGTTTGGTAGAGGTGGTTGCCTCCTCCAGGAATACCCTGTATCAAAGATCAGGTCTAATCCCTATTTGTCCATATACACACATATGTATACGTAATGTAAAAAAAAAAAAACAACACAGGTCTAATCCATATGTGTATACATATATACACACATGTATGTGTAATGTATATGCATAATGTGTATATGTATATATGCATACATATATTTATTTTTTTCAAGTGTTCTTTTCAATTAATCAACAAATATTTAGGTGCCTACTTGAACCTATGCTGTGACTCATTTGGAAATCTGCTTATTATCTCTCCTCCCAATTTTCTCCCCTGAATATATAGCTCTGGAGTTTAAAATCAGATTCTTTGTGCTATCCTACAGTATATGCTTATGTTCTACTAGAGATTGGTCACCAATCTTAATTATTCACTATTTAACCACTCTGTATCTCAGTTTATCCTTCTATAAAAGAGACAGATGAGCTAGAAAGCTCAGTGGATAGGGTACTGACTCTGGAGTCAGGAAGACCTGCGTTCAAATATGATCCCTAGACACTTACTAGCTGTGTGACCTTGGGCAAGTCACTTAACCTCTGTATGCCTTAATCTACTGGGGAAGGAAATGGCAAACAACTCCAGTATTCTTCCAAGAAAACCCCATGCACTGTATGGTTTGTAGGGTCACTAAGAGTCAGACACAACTGAACAACAAAAAAGAGGAAGTGTGGCATAGTGGGTAATTTCATTTTTGTTTTTATATTGCCGCTAATATGTAGAAGGTGCTAAAAAATGCTTGCTTGAGTGCTGGGCTTGGAGTCAATAAAACCTTAGTTCAAATCCTGCTTGTGATACTTAGTAGTTGTATGACCTGGGCAAGCCCCAGACGTGATTCAGGCAACTTCCTGGGACCTCTCTTCGAAGTCATTAATTATTATCTAACTCATAGAGGGGGTTGAGCATTGGTGGAAGAGGTTCTTACTTTGGAAATTCGCTACAGGAATAAAATCATTGACTCCTTTATGTATTCTTTTGTGTAAACCCATACTGTAGTGACAGATGTGTATTTCAGTAATTCAGTAGCAACTTATGGTTCTGCAAAGAAATTGCTGGAGAACTTAGTTCACATGTTGATTGGAAAAGATCTCTTGTTTTCATCTTGAGCAGTTTAGTTTGTGAATCTAATGCAAATTGCTGGTGGATTTCCAGCGAACTGAGTATTTACTCAGAGCCTTGAATGGCTGTGTAGAGACATTGCTAGGTCCCTATTCCGTGTGACCCAGCCCAGCCGAGCCAAACCCTAGTGCCCAGTTGGCACTTGTGAGTGAAAAATGCTTTTTGTTCTCTCCTTCTAGGTAGCCTGTGTGGCAGAAACACCAGCGAGTGCTATATGTTGCCTGTGTTGGACACTGCATTTGTCAGGCGAAAACACCGAAGAGAAGGTCTTGGGATGAAAATGCTGCATGACTTTTGTCAGACTTTTGAGACTGAAGATGCCTTAGGGATCAGCTGCCCTATTTCTACCGCTATGTACCAAGGTAAAGCACAGGATGCAGAAACATTTGGGTAAGGGGTCATGAATAATTGATGTGCACTTCATCTGTCAGGGCACTCCCAGTGGCTCCAGCTACGCAGTGGTTCAGTAAACAGATTTAGAAGCCCTGTGATGGTCCCTGTCTTCCATCATCAGGTTTTTTACCAGCTCTTCCGTGGTATCTAGTCTACCTACTCTGGGTAAGTGGACACTTAGTTATTCTTTCATCCTTGATTATCTCTCCTGTGCCTTCCAAATATTATTTAATCAAAAGAGGCAACTCCTTCTTAAACTGAAAAATTATGAAGAATAATTCTCCCTCCCACACACAATTCAACAAAAATAAAATGTTGCAAAACAAAAAAAAAGTGAAACCATTGTCCCTGGTACAGCATGTTGGCACTGCTGCTTTTTAGGGAATGTCAGAACTTCTTTGATCTACTGTTTGTGCTTACAATTCATTAACTTGCCCTTTCAACTAGAAACCGCCTGAGAATAGCTTCTTTAGCTTAAGGAAAGGTAATAAGGAACAACAGAAAAGGGAGGGTACTTAGTATGCTGAGCATTTGAGCATATGGCAGCCCCAGTACCCTGTGTGGACCTTTCCCCTCTTAGCTTGGTAGCTCTTAACCTTGATGAGGGCAAGTCTCAGTGGACAGCTGTGTTTGGGAAAGGGGCTGGAAGGCCCTCATTGTTAGGTTTTTTTTATTCATCTCCCAGTCTGAGAAATTGGGACATGACTTGAAATTGACCCCCCTGTTGTTTCCAGGGTTCCCTTTTAATATTGTAAATGCAGAAAAAAAAACCCCCAAAACCTAAACCTGTAAAATTGTAGTAGGCCACTGGATTTGGAGTCAGTAAGACCTGGGTTCATGTCTTGCCTTAGATACTTACTAGCTTTGTGATCCCTGGCAAATAGATTAACCTGTCTAGGTCTCAGTTTCCTCATATGTAAAAATGAGGGGGTTGAATTCCATGATCTCTTCCAGCTTTAAATCTATGATTCTAGGGTCCTGTACCTTCAAGACAATGGGACAGTGGCAACGAGGAGAAAAATGAGATAATCAAGACCTGTCATTAATTTGAAGTCCTAAGGGAAAGATTCTGGAGGTGGAACAAACATTCATGTTTTTCTCCCAAGTGACTTTACTTATTTCTTTGTATTTGCTAACTCTCAGGCTATTATTAAACTCCACGGATTCCTTGAATTGCTTCAAATATAGCTCCAGGCTCTCTACAGTGCAGAGCTCACTTTATGGCATCAGTTTGTGCCAGAAACCAGGAGGCCATTGCTAACTTTTTTCCCAGGAGGACTCTCTCTCCTTATTCTCATTCCATTATGACATCATTATTTGAGTAGGCCTGGCCACTCACTCCTCTCAAACTTCCTGAAGTTCATTCTTTCAATAGAGCAAAACAACTACTTAGAACATTCTTCATCTTCCTCTGAGGGAATGAAAGGCTGAATAAGGGGAAGAGAGCTTGAGGGCTTGGCTAGAGTTCCCTGTTAGAAAGCCCTGTGGGCACTGGAGAGTCCCACCTCTTTTTGAGGTTGCTTCTCTACCCTGGTTTGACAGGGTGAAGAGCCTGAATGACAATTCATTCTGAATTGTTTGGTGCTAATTTTTTTTTTCTTCCTGATTGGAGACTTGGCTTGTTGTAGCCATTCTGAGGAATGTCTTAGGGGATTTGAAATGTTTTTCTCAAGCATTTAATATGCTGGTGTGTGGTGAACTGGAAGAGTGTGGAAGAATAGATTACAGTGTAGGAGAAGGACTGTGAGAAGTCACAATATTGTAATTTAATCAACCTATCAATCAGTGCAATTTGAGCACCAGCTGTATCTTTAGCACTGACCTGGGGCCTTTAAGGGAAATGACCAGCCTCTTTTCCCAAGAAACCTACAGTCTAGTTAGAGGTTTATAACGAACACACTTGAAAAAGACTTGAATGTGCATCAGGCAACATGCAAATGTTAGGATTGTTCAGTGGAGAACTCTAGAAAAAGTGAGAAAGCAGACTAGTGAGCCAGTGTGGGTTTTTGGACAAGATAGCAACACGATGAAAACGGGATTTGCTGGAGATAATTGTGGCAGATGAATGTAGTATGGTTTGGAGGAGGAAAGAGACTGTAGGCTGGTGGTCAGCTAGACGGCTGCTGCAGTAGTCCATGGACCTAAATTAAGATAATAGGGATAGGGATTGGGCCTGCAATCTTGCTGATAGAGGGAACTCTTAGGGAACGAAACTTTCTCTGCCAGTACAGATAGTCACCACCTTCTCTGCAATTTGCCTAGAGCACTAGGAGGTTAAGTAACTTCTCTAGGGCCATATAACCAGTATATGTCAAAGACTTCACTAACCCCTACTGGTATGCATTTGAAATTAAGGCAACCTGTGAATGAGGTAACCTGTGGAAGCATTGTTGGAATAAAAATGGCCCAGTTTTGTGGAAGTGTGGTGCCCTTAGTTTATACTTAATTCACTAATTTTTTTTTTCCCCCTTGGATTTCCTTCAGTTTGTCGAAAGTTCTTACTGGCCTATACAGAGGAGCAGGATCGACTGTGGGAGGTAGAGGCTCCAGGAGATTGGTGTCAGAGGGTGAACATTTGGCTAAAGATTCAACTTGAACCAAGCCTTTCCTATAGTAAGTATAAATGAAAAGTATACATTTTGGTTTTGTAGGTTTTATAGTTATGAAAGTGAAGATAAAAGTTTAATTAATAGTGAGCACTGAGATTCAGATCCTACCTTTGGCATTTGCAATCTGTCTGACCACGGACAAGTCACTAAACCTTGCCAGGCCTCAGTTTACTCATTGGTAAAATGAGGGATTGTACTAGATGACCTCTGAGGTCTGTTCCAGTTCCTGACATCCACATGCCTCCTTTGGTATGTTCAACAAAAAAAAAAAATTGAGAGTATACAGATCACTTGCTCCAGTTGATAAGCAACTGTTAAGATGGAGTGTAGCAACTTTGTGGATTTCTTTTCTTCTGTCCTGCCAAATTGAGAAAGGGATTTGGACTAGGCAGACCACATTAGGAAGATTCTCCTATTTAAAAATACATCTCCCCCCACCCCTTTCCAAATGCTGTTTGAATCAACTAGCTCTCCTTTTAAAATACAAATACTCCTTTGAAGTGTTAAACCTATACTTTAAATTTCTTTTATAAGGGCAGATCTAATTGCCCAGAGGGGAAGAAAGGGCCTTGGCTTTGACCGGGTCTCCTTACCTTTATCCCTGAACTTCCTTTGATTGGAGGAGGGTCTCACAGCTTCTTAGGGTCCAGAGGAGTGTTCCTCTTCCCATTTTCCCACTGATGTCCTAAATGGTGTCCTCAGATCAGTTGGCAGCAGTGTCTTCATTAGGATCCAAGAACCAAGATGGACACAAATTTACCATGCTTACGGGGATTACATCATGAATGAGAGAAAAAACAGAATTTACAGCAACTGGTAGCTATGAGTTTCCCCTTGCAGCACGTGCTTTGTAAGCCTGAACCAACAGTAGACTTCTATTTGGGAGAGTGTGTTACCAATGTTTTGTACTAAATGTTCTCATTGTACTGCTTTCATAAATATCCCTTTCTAAAAACTGCTTAAGACTGGTTGACTAAATTGATTTTTTTTTTGAGGCAACTGGGGTTAAGTGACTTGCCCATGGTCACATAGCTACTAAGTGTCTGAGGCTGGATTTGAACTCGGGTCCTCCTGACTCCAGGTCCAGTGTTCTATCTACTGTGCCACCTAACTATCCCTATAAATTGGTTTTCAACTGATATTCTTGAGGGTGAAGCACACCAGCAGGGGCTTGAGCTGTGGTACTGCAGAATCAACCCTGACTTCTTAGGATCACCTTAGAACCTTGAAGGGGGGGATTTGGCCAGCCTAGCTCTGGAAATTCTACTTAAAAGAGGGAGGCAGAATAAGCATGCCGCAGTGCATATCTGGGCCCTGTGAGGAAGCTTGGAAAGGTTAAAATTGAGCCCTTCACAATTGCAGGGAACCCTGCCCCCCCCCCAAATATTCTTCATGTAGGACTTTAATTATTTGGTATTCTAGATTCACTGGAAAAAATTATAAATTTTATTTTCTCTTTTTTTGTTTCAAACTAATCTTATAGAAGTTTTCCCACTATTTCCTTAAAAGTCTAGTTCTGTTTGAGGTGATTTATTTAGACAATGCATTTGTTGATCCATTGAAATTTAAGGACTCATTTGTGGGGTTACTAAATCTGGCACAAGTATTGATTTTGAGGCTAATGTGAAAAGTATGGAGTTTGCATCCTTTAAATATTGGTGCCTGGCACCGGGAGCATACTATGGTAGTTCATAAATGTTCATATCTTTTCTTTCTTTCTTTTCTGCTTTTAAAGAGACTTAGAATGCTTGCCTTCTTTGTGAAATTAGTCCAGCCAATTTGTGTGAGATCTTTGCTGGCCTAGAAACTTCAGAATCATCCATCAACCTTAAGTGATTAATCCCTTTTTCTCCATCTCATCCTTATTTAGAGCTTATTTGAACTTGTTTTCTATTGTGTTTAACTAAGTATACTTGTCCTGCTAATGGGTTAGTTTGGAATTCCGGAATAGCCTCTGAAGTAGTAAGAATACATTGCAGTAGAAGATTTTGGATAAGATTTTCCTATACTTCAAAGGGGAGGTAGTACAAGGACCCTCAGAAGGAAGAAAGAAAAAGAGAAAAGTAAGGAAATGAGGAATTAAGGGCCTTCTATGTGGCAGGCACTGTGCTAAGTGGGTTTTTTTTGGGGGAAGGGAAGGCACAAGGCAATTGGGGTTAAGTGACTTGCCCAGGGTCACACAGTTAGTAAGTGTCAAGTGTCTGGTCTGAGACCAGATTTGAACTCAGATCTTCATGACTCCAGGGCCAGTGCTCTATCTACTGCACCACCTAGCTGCCCCTAAGTGTTTTATAAATACTATCTCATGATCCTCATGACAACTTTGGGAGGTAGATGCTATCATTATCCTCAATTTACAGTTGAGGATGCTGAGGCAGTGACTTGCCCTAGGTCACACAGCTACTAAGTATCTGATACTAGATGTGAAGTCAGGTTTTTCTGCCTCCGGGCCAGTGCTCAATCTACTAGCCTACCTAGCTGCCTCAGAAGAATATTACTCTGGCATTTGTGGAAAGGAGCCCCTAAAAAGCTTTGTCCAGAACCCAGCTGGATGGCCTTATGCACTGAGGAAATCATGGAATTTTTCACTTAGGACAGTTTGTTTTCTCACCAGAGAGTTGGGGGAGAAGGTGACTTCCAGTTGACCTCTGGTCCTTTTTAAAGTCTTTTCAAAGGTAGCTTCACCTTATTTGGAAAGCTCTGTTGGTGGAGAGAGAATAAAAGTGGTGATCGGTTCGATAGTAGAGGGGCCCCATTATCGGGAAAAGGAAAAGTACCCCAAACTCCCCTGGACCCAGGTCCAGTTGATTGTAGCACGTGGTACCAGACAGAGCTCAGAGTTGAGGTGCCTCTTCATGGGAGAGGGAGTGGGCAAGGATTCTAGCTTCTTGGAACCAGTGGAAGGATGTTGTTATTCTTACCTGAAGAGTAAGGGGGTGGATTCACATCAACCCAAGGCTTCTGATCCCTGGGAGGACTAGCCTTTCTGTCCAATAAAGACCTCATTTCTGCTGTTGTTTCCCTTCTACAAAAGGCTTTCAAAGACTTTTTGCCATGCTAAGGGTTTTAATTGAGATGTGCTTAGGTATCTAGCTAAAATGGGGTGAAGTGGTTTGATCCCATCCTCATATTTTAGGGAGGTTTCTTTTATCCTTAAAGGAATCAAGAATGAGAATTTAGAGATGAAAGGATTTGTTTTTTTTTTTTAGCCCAGTGCTTGGTTCCCCCAGACCTGGGTGGAATTGTGAACTAAGTTATTTGAGGACAGGCCGGGACTATTTTACTAGTTGTGGCTAGACCCCAAACCAGGAAGACCAGGACACGGATCCCATGTTGGACGCATATTTGGCTGTGCAACCTGGGTAAATCACTTAAACTTTGAGTGCCCTAGGTAACTAGGTAACTTGATTGAGGGTTACAAAGAGGACATAGAATTCCACTGATAAAAGGAACTTCTTTGTCTAGGGAACTTTATCCCTGTAGCAATGAAATCATAGTTCCTGTCCCTATCCTTGTCCCTAGTGCTTAGCACAATGATTTCCACATAGTAGGAGCTTAAAAAATGTGTGTTGATTTCTTGTTAGAAAACCAGATTACAGCACATAGAATAAATAAAAGCACTGGGCACAGGAGAGTGGTGCAGAAGTGGTACCACACACAAATATCACCTACTTTGAAATTTTGCCTAAAGTGTTTCTTGCCTGAGCTACAATTTCCTCACTGGTGATGTGGGGGAACGAGATGAGATGATCTTTAAGGTCCCTTCCAGCTCTAAAATTCTGAGATTCTCTGTTTTGTCTCTAGTATTCTAGATTACTGACCCTTACCAATGACAAGGAAGGTACTTGAGACAGGAATTCAAATCTAAAGGCGTTGTTTTATTATTAATAAAACAAGGTAGAACTTTCTGAAAGTTGAGGTAGAAACTTTGTTCAGCACGTATGACTTAGTGACTGCTGTTCTCAAACTGAGCTTGCTTGGGTAGAGTTAAATTTTCTTTAAAAAAAAAAACAACCCAAGTATTTTACTGCTTTACTCTTACGCATTACCTGGCTCAATCCAGTACATTATTGGTTGCTATACCAACATCTAGGTAGCTGGGACAGATAAATTTAGGTGTCATTAGTTTATAGATTCTAAATGGCAGTTCTAGAGAATCAGTTTTATCAGATTTTTTGGGGTTTGTTTTTTCGTTTTGAGGGGTACAACATTAAAGCTTTAGTATTTTCCTTTACTTTCTCTTGACTAAGATACTATTACCGTTGTCTGACATTTTGGCATTAGTGGAGAGATCATTATGGTTCTTGCTAAGGAAACAGAAATGTTGTTTTCCATCCCATGTGTATAAATTGTTTGGCCTCTATAGAGTGACAGCAGGCACATTTTAGTTTATTGAGGAAAATGGAAATATCTTGTGCTTTATAGCACCTTTCATCCAGGAGGCTTTTGTGTGTCTTTACAAACATTCATGGGGCATCCTAGAATCTTGTGCGGTAGTTAGTAGGATTACTTTAACTGTTAATACTACTGAGGCAGTTAAGTGGCTTGTCCAGAAGTGGGAACGAGAAAAAGAGATAAAGGGGGAGAGACGAGGGGAGAGGAACAGGGAAAAAAAGGAAGGGAGAGGGAGGGAGAAGTGAGAAATTGAGACAGAGAGAAAGACAGATAGGGAGACAAAAACAGAGACTAAAAGACAGAGAGAGAAGAGAGAGCTTGGGATCCCTTTCCAAGGGCAGTCCAAACTGCCATGACCACTTCAGAGTTATTGGTGAAGTTCAGAAATGAGCCTTCCACCCCTACAGCTGCCCTTATGCATTAACAGTTCTTACTTCTTTGCAAGGATAGAGTTGGAAGGAGGGGGAAGGATTAGGAAACAGGTTTTGGAAATTTAATAGGATGTGGGGAGGAAGAAATTTTTGCATAATTAGGAAGATGGTTGTCAATTCTAATAATTCCACTTGGTGTCACTTCAAGGGCTGCCGCCCCAGTGGGAGGCAGTGTGGATCAGTAGGAGGAAGATAACTGGAAATTAGATGCCAGATCTGATGCTTTGACTTTTGGTGAGAATCCTTATCTCTCCTCCTTGAATCTCAGTAAAAATATTTGAAAGAATATTGGTAAAGATCAGTTTGAGGACCTTAGAGGAAGAAAAGGGATCCTTGAATATTGAGGCTGGGAAAAGATAAATTAATTATGATTAATAAAACTCCTGAGTTGTCTTGTATTCTAAGCTTGAAATTTAGATTCCTGTCCTTTCACTAACTTTGTAAATTATGGCACTGTTCCCAGTGCCATACCTTCTGTTTATCCCAAACTGATACCTTCTGTTTATCCCCAAAGCATGGCAGCAAGAATTTTAAGCCGACTCAACCCACCCTCTCCATCTTGTAGTTATTATGCTGGTTAGTTAGTGCTGAAATTTCAGGTTGTTTTCCAAATTGGTGATGTGTGGGCTGTCAGGGCAATCACACATGAGCTCCAATAAGTTGCTCAACCCTGAATCTACTTCTCCTCTTCAGAGACAGTTGAATTTTGGTCTGTTAGAAATTCTTATAGTTCACTGAAACGATACTCAGTTCCTGGAACTTTTTCCTACTTGTAAATAGTAAATCCCATAGGCACATTTGTTTAGTTTAGCTTTTAATTAGCTAGTTATTCTTAGAGTTGCTTTCTTGGATTGTTTTAGATTTTACAAGCCATACGGCTATCCTTTCATTCCAGGCTGTTATTTCTGGAAGTTTTCTGCACACTTAAGTGTTGTAAAAATAAAATTGTGTATAAGACTTCCAGTGAAACAGACCACTTTCTTAGATACTGAGTGCACATGCTAATATATCATAGACATTTTACGGCTTTTCCAATAGGGGAAAAAATCCTTCTTATGCTTTCAGATGTTTAAAATATATATATTTTAATAGATCTTTTAGGATTAGATTTTAAACAAATTAACCTGCTTGTGATCATTGATAACATATGTAGCTGAAAATTTTAGTGATGGCGTTAGAGGGTTGTTCATTTCAGATGGCCTCTGGGAGCTTTCTCTTCCTGAACACAGTTGTGCACAGATTATGGAGCAAAGCAAATAGGATGAGATGCTAAAATCCTTTCTCTGGCAACTTCCCAATCAAGCTTGCAGATATTTTTCAGTGATGTAAAAAAAATCATCAAAAAGGGGTAAAATATAATATGCCAAAAATAAAATGTGGTAAAATCATGTTTTTAAAGCAAATATGCAAAAAAAATCACCTTTTAAATGATGCTTTCAGTTTGTTAGTTATATTTCATAAGTCCCACTTTAAAAGAAAAAATTAGATTAGTGTTGAGTAGATTTAGTTATCATCTCATGTGCAAGTAATTTCCATTAAAGAAGTATGCATACCACCCCCTCCCCAAATGAATGTGATTTATTGTAACTTAAAGTCTGTTTTAATTCATTTTGGTGATAGTGTGTCCATCACTAAATCTGCTATAACAGTTTGCTAGAAAATACTAGAAAATTCTCAACAAGCTGAACTACTCACTTGCAGGGATTTTTGGTAGTGCAATATTTTGAAAGGTTGTATGGCTGCATCTAGTGGTAACTGAGGTAAACTGCAGTGCCATATATTATATCATAGATTATATCTATTAAATTCAAATTTGTATTTAAATTGATCCAAGATATTAATACATTTTATGAATTTTTCTGAGAGATTATTGAATCTTCATCAATTGATAAATAAAATTCAAGTTAATATTTCATAGATATCAGCATGATGTTTTATCATATGAAAATAAATAATTTCATATAACTCATAAAAATGAGGTTATTAACGGAAGATGGAAAAAAATACAGACTGGTTTAAGTAAAAGCCATGAAGAAAATGTATCATCAAATAAATTTGAATTATTTCAAAGTTTGTTTTCTGAAAGATCGAAGTTATATTTTTATTTCTGAATGCTATGATTAAATTTTACCAAACCAGATTACTCACTTTAACAGTTTTTACAGTGAAAGATACACATCCAGCTAAAGAATATGTTCACTCTACTTAAAAAATTCTTTTTCAGGTAAAATGGAAAACCCCACTCATTTTGTTTGGGTTGATAATTTGCCTCATTATTAATTTATTAACTTGACTCATTTCTGAGTACCTGTAGCATTCAGTGTGAAAAGGAACATAAAGATGGATTAAGATTCAGTTCATGCCCCGCAAGATCTTAAAGTATAAAAATAGAGATTACATGCGTACTACAAATAAATATACGAAGTCAAATGTGTAAGTGTATAAGAAAGGTACAAATGTAATGCTTTAAAAGTTTGTGGGAGGTGGTGTTTGAATTGAGCCACCAAAAAAAAAAATACAGAAAAAACAAAACAGATCCCCAGACTCCTTTCTAAATGAGTCACTTAAATTCGGGAATAACAACACAAAAGATAGTGGTGTCTCTCATTAGCAAGACAGCGCCATCAAGCATAGTGATGGAACACAGAAAGTAACAAGAATCCTCTTTTAATGTTAATCAACAATTTTTAATCAATCAACAAGCATTTATTAAACATCTACTATGTGCCAGGCACAAATCAGGACCATTAGATATTTGATGCAAATATCCAGGGATGTGCCATAGCTTTTGGATGCTGAGAAACAATCACATCATGTCCTCAAGCATTTATTAAGAGCGTACTAGAAACCGGCACTGCTTAGCACTGGGAATACAAACCCCACACAAAAACAAGCCCTGCCCTTAATGAGCTTACATTCTAATGCAGGAAATGACATAGAAATAGCTATGTATTTAAAAAACAGATATAGAGCAAATTGGAGGTAACCACAGAAGGCAGGCACTAGTACAGGAGGAGGACCTGGAAGGGCCTTTTGTAAAAGATAGCATTTGGGCTGAGTGAAGGTCAGGCAGATTTTTGCTTCCTCTATTTCCACTCTTTAGCTTTTTTTTCCCCTGCATCACCTGGTACGCATTTCTATAACTGTCCAAATTAAGAAAAAGAGGATGAAATTGTGTTGTGGGACTAAAGATTTCCAGCAAGGTCACCAGTGTGGTCTTGGTCATTTTGCAAGCTCCTGCCTACAGAGAGCTAGGTACATGCTTTTATTATGTTCTTTCCTTCAGGGAAAGTGACTTGTTGGGTAACTTCAGAGGTGACAGAGAGCTGCCACAGAGAGAGTTTCCAAGATGGTGAACCCAGACCATCAGATGATGGAGAAATGAACAAGGTATCCCGATTAATTTTTCATTTTGTGGGCTCCTGTGAAGGAGGGGGGATTAAAAAATCTTTTCCTTTTTTAGCAAAGCAATAGCCAGATTCTGAAAGGCTGATTCATAAAACAACTCTGAGCTTTACCATGGCAGCAGGCCATTGAGTTAGACCTAATCTCTGTTGTATTGGGAGGCAGTATGAAGAAGGACCATTATAATTAGGCATTCTCCTGGTAATCATTTCTAAGCTAGACAAGCTATAACTAAGCTGAAACAAAACAAAGCCCACATGGAATACCCAAGCTTTGCATTATAAAGAAAATATTGAAAATATGAATTAACAATTCTACAGCGAAACAGAGTCTTTTAAGTAGAGCAAAAGCAAGACAAATTTGGCTTTCTCTTATCCTTTTCCCCTCCCTTTAAGTAGCACGTTGATTGAAAATCAAGGGTTTATCCCTCCTTCTCCTTCTCATGGCTATGTTACTGGAAGTTTTTAAGCTGTCTGTTACTTTTCATACTCTTTTGTTTTCCAATAACACATTTCCATGTGTGTTCTGACAGCAAAGTTAATTACTTTCCCGTGAATGATGATCATGATGAAATCAGGCACTTGGCATGGCATCGCACTTTTAAAATTATTGTTGTTTTTAGCCACCCCCAGATTATTTGCAAATTTGAAATTGCGAATGTATACAGAGCATTTTGCCCACTTTCCAAAAGTAGCTTTTTTTTTGGACCAGAAGACCCAACATGAAAGGTATACCATATGAACCAGTATAGACCTGATTATTTTAGAAAAAAGTTGCAAAGTGTTTGACATTAACTCAACCAATCTGCTAAAATGAGAACTTCCATTTTCTTTTATATCCAATTAAATAAAGTTCATTTAAAACCACATTGGACAAGACTATTGTCGCTTAATTCCTTTGGGTGATCATAAAGCTTTTACCATTACCTTCAGTAATTTCCTATAGCTTCCCATTAAAAGGAAGTGGATGCTTCCAGAATAATGGTACATGGTATCCAGGAAGATAGGTCCTCAAGATTTGGGCTCAACATTGTAGTAATCAACATTGTAGTAGAATCATAGACTCCTTGAGTTGTAAGGAACCATCTAGTCCGGTCCCTACCTGAAACATGAAAAAAACATGAATATGCTCTACTGCAACAACATTGCTGCAAAATAGTTAAGTTACCTAGCTTTTGAATAGTTCCAGTGAGAAGAAATTTGCTTATCTCCTCAGATGGGACTTTCTGTTTTAGGACAGTTTTAATTTTTAGGAGTTTCTTGAACCTCATGCTGAACTAACTGCACTTTCACTCATTGGTTCTACGTGTACCCTCCAAGACCAAGCCAGAAATAAAACCCAAAAAAATCCTTTAAATTTTCTTCCACGTGAGCACACTTGAAATTCTTAAAAACAGCTATCATATAGATCATAAGGAAGACTGCCAATATTTTTTTTCCCCAGTTATCCCGTGGTCCTGCATTTTTTGAGTAAGAGACTGTGATTCTTTCTGACTTTTATGAGTTCTTTATCCAAGAAGGGGGTGGCTCCAGATACCTTAGCAGTGTCTCAGTACAGAATTCTGTTCTGGCTTGTGGTAGAGCTATGTTACACCAATTAATTAGAATTCTTTGTTGTCTCCTTTCTGGCTTCAGGATAGTCATAGTAGAGAAACAACAGAAAAAATAAAGGAGAATAAAGATTACATAATGATAGAAGATGAAGTCACTCCACAGCCTCCTAGTAAAGAAAGCTTGAATCAAACGACCCACAACATTCAGTGGAATGCCAAGAGGAGATCAGAGAAAGCGGATATTGTGGAAAATAAGCCTGCTAAACAAGTCAGGCCCAGTTTCTGACTTCCTTATTCTTGATGGAAAGAACCCTGAACTGGAAGTTGGAGACCTGAATTCCAGTGCTGGCATTGTCACTAGGTAACAATGTGACCATAAATGAATCTTAATTTTCTTATTTATAAAATCTGCCCTACCTACCTCACAGAACTGTTATGAGGATCAAATGAATAATTCATGTGAAAGTGATTTAAAAACAATAAAACAATTGTACCAATGCAAGGAATAATACAGAAAGGTTATGGTCCCATTTATCAAGATGCTGCTACCATTTTCTTCAGACTTTTAGGTTTCTCCATCTTAAGATGTTTTGTGGTGAGAGAGCATTCTGAATATCTCCAATGCTTAAAATGAACTTTGTTTTTATTTTTTCCTGTGGGGGAAAATATAGAAAAGAGTAGAGCCCTCTTTTCTCCACTGTTGCAGAACTAGTTTGAAGCATTACGTACAACATCTAGAAAAAAGTAATTGAGGGTTTGTAGATACTGCTGTAAGATATTTCTATGGAAACAACATTTCTTATCCTGTAGAGCAAGATGCTACACCATGGAGCCAAGATCAAATGGCAGTGTAACCTCTTTTGCAAGATAGATAATTGATTTAAGTTTTTGTACATCTGGCCTTTGTGGAAAGGAAAAAAAAAACCCAAGCAAAATATCTACTTTCTACAGCCTATATTTAAGTTTTATCCATCTTTCTAGTGTAAAGTTCTGTGTTCTTGGTGCCTTTTTGTGTATTACTAACATTAAAGAATTTTTTTTTGCTGGTGGTATTTATAATAAATGTTATATGATTAGTCCTTAAGGGGACAAGAATTCTTCCTGAGAGGCAAAGTTGTATTGATTACTTTTTGAAAGTGAAAAGGCTTTTCCCAGACCTCATGGCAAGCTGTAGATGCTTCGTGTCCTCCCACGTATCAAATTCACCACTAAAAGCTGCACATCTCTGAATGTCAGTTTACTCATTTGTAGAATAAAGGGCTTTGCCTAGATCAATGTCACCCAAATTTATCTGCCCCTGAAATGGTTTCGGTGATTGAAATATACTGATCAACCTACGAATGTTTGTCTTCAGGGTTCTAAGGTCATGGGAATTCTGGAGTAAAATTAAACATATGTTCCTTTTCCCCAAAAATGCCACATGTGAATACATATTTTTGACATATGATTTAATGTGTAATATTTTAGAGGGAGAATACCACAACCAGTGACCAGAACCCTTATGAAGACTGTAAAACACCAGAGTTCCATGGAACATAGTTTTGGGAACATGCTAAAAGTAGGCGATCTTTGGATTTTCCATTATGGTACAGTGGGAAAAATGCTAGATTTGGAGTCAGAAAACATGAATTCAGATCCTGGCCCTTTATAATGTTGGGCAACTCATTTCAATTCTCTAGGACTTAATTTCCTCCTTTATATAAATAGTTTTGTTTGAACATCACAATGATCCTGTGAGGCCAGAAAAACATGTTATTATTTTGCTGCTGAAGAAACTGAAACTTACATTTAATGACTTTGCCAAGCTCACAAAGGGAGCGTCAGATAGAAACAGGATTGACCCCAAAATTTCACTTGACTCCAAAACTATTGCTCTCTCTACCATACTGTGTACCAGGATTGCTAGATTGTTAGGATTGCCCCTACCTGGACCTGGCACTTGGTATTTCTAGAACTCTCAATGATCAGAGGGTCAGTATGCTAGGAGAGCATTCTACTACTAGTGGAACCTGTGGACAGATATTGTTTATATTCCTTCATCTCTGTTCTGCCTCGAATGGAAGGAAGATACATTGAATAATAATAATATCATAGAATCCAGGAAGAATACATCTTATAGTCCTTTAAAGAAAATTGTAAGCCATCAAGTGCACTTATATTTGTGGATGTAGATGTCCTATGAATGTCATTGAAGACATGGATTCTAATGTGAAAGGAAAATTGTTTATTGTATGTACTGTACTACTTGAAAAACTAATGTGTGGTGCTTTGTATTTACAAGAAAATGCTCCGATTGTACGTCTTGGGGGATTGATGATGTTATGTTGCAAATAAAAGGTGCCTTCCCAAAGGAAAAACAATTGATGTGTTGGCAGCATTTATTTGGGGCTAGGGAAATCAGTGTCATTCAGATTTACATGATAGTATTCCAGAGTCAAGCAAAACCTCTCCTTGATCACCATTGTATTCAATTACATGCCATGCCAACAGAGTGACTGTGTTGTTAGCAACTGTGCAATTCAGTATTAAGAGTCAGTCCGTGGATCAGTAAACATTTAAGTGCCTACTACATGCCAGTCACTGTACTAAGTGCTGGGGATACAAAAAATGGCAAAAGACAGTCTGCGCCCTCAACGAACTCACCATCTAATGGGGGAGACAACATACAGACAAAAATGTGCCGATTCACTATATATGCATGACGAATAGGAAGTAATCAGTAGTGTGGAGACACTAGAATTAAGAGAGATTGAGAAAAGCTGCTGCCTAAAAATCATGGATAATACTTTGACATTATGGTTTTTGAAGACAGACGCAATAAATTCACTCCATATATCTCACAGGGTTTGCTTAGTACAGTGCTGTGCACACACTCATAAATCTTAATTGATTGGGTTGAGGACATTCATGCGGAATTCTATAGTTCAATAAAAAGTAAGGTTCTATTTTTGAAGTTAAAAAGGGGATCGGGGAAGCTAGGTGGCGCAGCGGGTAGAGCACCGGACCTGAAGTCAGGAGGATCTGAATTCAGATCCCACCTCAGACAAAACACTTGACACTTACTAGTTGGGTGACCCTGGGCAAGTTGCTTAACCCTAATTGCCAAAAAAAAAAAAAAAAGAAGGGGGAGGGAATTTGGGGAGAATTTGGCTATGGCTGATGAAATCTGCTGTTATGGTCTGCCGTTATGGTTCCTGAGCTCATAGGAGTGTAGCATTAGACTTGGAAGGGAACTTAAGTGATTACCTAGTCCAACCCCTTCAGTTTATATGTAAGGGAACTGAGGCCCAAAGAAATGATTTGTCTAAAGTCACAACTAGACCAGGTTGAGGCATGTGTCATCCTGAGTTTAAAATCAAGAGTCTGTGACTCTCCAACTACCCCAGAGTCAGTCAGTAGCAAGACAGAAGCAATCCTGACGGCAGAAAAGGCTTTTAAGGAGAATTCTGCTAGTGAAAGGTTGTAATTCTCTGTCAAGGTGGCACAGAAGGCCTGTTCCCGAGGGATCCCCATCTTTACCTCTGTTTTGCAGCAGCAACAAAAGGGTTGGGCTGCAGGGGGAGAAAACGCCTGGTTTGGCACATCAGTTCTCGAACTGTTGAATTCTCCATCACAAAACCGCCAGCACCACTCAGATATCCGCTAGAATATGTGGATGGAAGTCAAGGTTAAGCAATAAAAATACACTGAACTTGGAGGAAGGGTTTGAATCCCAGCTCTGCCAGACACGACCTGTGTGATTGATATCTGGGTGTAGTCTTTGTTGGTACCCTTTCAGTCTAGTACTCTGGCCAGGAGGGAGATGTATTTTGTGAATGATTTTGATTCTCTTCCCTTAAGCTGTTCAAGATAAGCAAAATAAGGCTCTAAAATATTAACTCTTGAAGACAGCTTCAAAGAATCTTTGTTAAGTTAAATATTTTTAAAAGGTTCCATCTTCTGAGGGTAGCCGTATGAAGTTGGTGCATCAGCATCTGGTTCCCCCTTCTGGTGGAAAGAAAATTAACTTCATCCTCAAAGTCATAATCTCTCATGTATCTGAATAGCTGGGTAGCCTGACCTCAAAACACTTCTCTCTCAATCTTCAGTGCTGATTTCTTGCCATATGATTAGGAAGGAAATTGTTTAGGTCCCAATTAGTATGAATAATGAATCCCTTGACGTGGTCACATGTATTCAGTTTGTAGTATTCAAAGTTATAATCATACAGAATATGGTACTAGGTTCCAGCCCAATGGAAAAATACAGTGAGAATTCAGATAATGTGACCACTTTTGGGGATTCATTATCATGCTGATTGTATTTATTTAATCATCTGCCTGTCCATTTGGACAATAGTTATTATTCATTCACCAGGTTTTTCTGATGTGTAATGTTAAGCTGGTCTCTAAAAAAATTGTGGATTTCACCGAAGAAGCATTATAGTGTTCAGAGACGATGCGATTGACACAGCATCAGCTATTAAAAGGAACATTTGGAGAATCAACAGGGGGTCCTTCTGTTTGGGCTCTGCACAGAATATTCTCTATGATACTGATGAACACCTTGGGTGAGCATATGTCTCCCTGTTTTATACCTTACTTGATACTGTGAGTTAGTAGGTAATTGAACAAAACTATTTCCATAGTTACACCTGTCATAGAGTCTAATAATATTTTGATATATTTATGGGAGATTGAAAAGAGATTTTTAAAGTATATTTTTAATTGAGTCAAATGCTTTTGTAAAAAAATCGAGAAAAATAGATAATACAGGATCTTGTATTCACTATACCGCTTGGTCACACATGAAACTGTAAAGATGTTATAGAAAATTATAGAAAATCATTGGAAAAATTCTGCCTGTTCCATCCTCTTGTTTTCATTGAGGCTAATCTCAGTGCATAAATGTACCTTTAATTCTTGGCAAGATTTTAGAGATAAGAGAGAAACGTATGTTGCTGATGTCTTTCTTTGTCTTCTTCCTGATCACTTTGGTGGAGGGGTTGGTGGTGGTACAATCACTCTTTTCCGTATCTGAGGAATCATTCCCTGATATATATTGTATATAATATAATATATGTAACATATATAAAAGCATATGTAACATATATAACTATATCTGCTACATACGTGTGCCCATGTCCACAAAATCCCTGAGATTTGTAGTTCTTTCCAGTTTAGGGAAAGAGAAAACTAACCCAAGCTTGGCCCTTGGAGAGAGGAGCAGAGGTTGGGTTTTTCCCCCTCATATGGAGCAGCTGGGAATTTTGAAGACTTTCTAGGACAGAAGAAAAGAAAGATGATGATGGTCAGTGAAATCTAGGCAGCAGCTGGTGTCTGCCACATCTGCACTCCCCTTCTTTAAGCCTGTGAGAGATGACTTCTGTCTGAATGGACAAGTATGTGTGTAACTCTGTGTGTTTTATGCAGGGTGCTCACCTCAGTAGCAGGGGTGTGAAAAGAAGCCAGCAGAGAGAAGTATGAAGGGATGGACCCTTCCCTGCCCAGCCTTATTTCTGTTTATATTTACTCCAATTTATTCTGTTAAAAATACATTTATTTGCCAGATTTAATATTATTTTTCAATATAACTGTGGTTGATATACAACTGTAGATACACAGAATATCTGTGTCCCAATGTGGATCTCTTTATTTGTGGCATGAAGGTGCAATGGAATCCATAAAGGAGAGGGGGATCTCTACTAAATCCAGGCTGGGAGCTCAACTCCCAGACCGTCTTGTGCTCTCTAACTTAGGACATAAATACAAGCTATTTTATAACTATCCTTCTAAGTGCCGAATTACTCTGAATGTAGGCCATATTTTATAAATCTACCTAATAGATGTGAGCCAAGTTACATACACACACATATATAAATTTTACTATATATTTACATATATATAGACATACCATATGTAAGTGCATATGTGTACGTGTGCATATGTGTATGCACGCACATATGGTATGTCTGTACATATGTAAATACATACTAAAATTTTTATATATGTATGTACATATAAATGTAAATATAAAATCAACCACTCCCCAGGGCCTTTAAAATACATCTTTGCGCATGGCCGATGTGGAAATTTGCTTTGCTTGACTATGCATATTTGTTATAAAGACTTTCTTTTTTTTTCTTCCTTCCTTCCTTCCTTCCTTCCTTCCTTCCTTCCTTCCTTCCTTCCTTCCTTCCTTCCTTCCTTCCTTCCTTCCTTCCTTCTTTCCTTCCTTCCTTCCTTCCTTCCTTCCTTCCTTCCTTCCTTCCTTCCTTCCTTCCTTCCTTCCTTCCTTCCTTCCTTCTTTCCTTCCTTCCTTCCTTCCTTCCTTCCTCCTTCCTTCCTTCCTTCCTTCCTCTCTCTCTCCTCTCTTTCTTTCTTTCTTTCTTTCTTTCTTTCTTTCTTTCTTTCTTTCTTTCTTTCTTTCTTTCTTTCTTTCTTTCTTTCTTTCTGTTGTTCAGTGCAGGAGTATAGAGATGAGAAGGAGAAAAAAGAAATGCTTTTAATAAAATTAAATTTTAAAAACTTTCTCTTCCAGCAAGAATCTCCTCGGATGGTCTTCTAGATCTCCTATTCTTTATTATCATTATCACTTCCTCACACAGAAATAATGCAATAATATATGCGTTGTTCAGTGAGGCAATGTGTATGCTCTGATCCTGCTTCCCATGCTCTGCACCAATTCTTTTACATCTTTCTGTATTTCTTCATGTTCTTCATACCTGTCATTTTTATGGCACAATACAATTCCATTACATCAATAAACCTCACAGGAGACAGTATGGTGTAGTGATAAGGACTCTGGAATTACTAGGGCTGGATTCAAATCCAAAGTGATTTAATTTTTCTGGGTCTCAGTTTCCTCAATTGTAAAATGAAGGATATTGGACCAGGTGGTCTCTGAAGTCCTTCCAACACTAGATCTATGATCCATCAACCATTGCCCTGTTTGTGGGATGTGCTTAGATTGTTCCTGGCTTTTGTTCTGACTAATACTGCTGTCATAAATGATTTTTGTATCATCAATAGATCAGTAGTTCTGTGAGTAGTTCCCCTTGATGGGGAATATCTTCAGTTTTGCATCTGTGTCTCCAGAAATCAGCACAGTGCTTAGCACACAGTAAGTGGGTACTAAATAATTTTTTATTCATTCATTCATTCAGTCTGATTGCTATTTTGCTATCTCTAAGATGTTAAAAGTGCTAGAGAGCTGCCTCTAGTATTTTGGGTAGTTTCTTTATGTAGAGTTTTCAGAAAGACATCTATGAAAATTACACAGAATGGTACAGTGTTGAGCTATATTACAGATTTATCAAAGGATACTTTTTTTTTTTTCACAGATGGGTCTCCCCACACCCTCTTTTAACAATGTTATTAGG